TGTGAAGTATCTTATGAATGAGAAATACTTCATCTAACTACTATAACAACTTTTGATAGGGAAATGTTTAAAGATTATAAAATAATAAACTAATAACTGGAACTATGTGAAGTATCTCATGAATGAGAAATATTTCATCTAACTACTATAACAACTTTTGATAGGGAAATGTTTAAAGATTATAAAATAATAAACTAATAATTGGAACTATGTGAAGTATCTTATGAATGAGAAATACTTCATCTAGCTCTTACAATCACTTTTTATGAGGAAATGTTTAGATATTGTAAATTAATAAACTAATAACCAGAGCTCTGTGAAGTTTCTTATGAATGAGAAATATTTCATCTAGTTCTTTCGATGACTTTTTATTGGGAAGTTTTTGGAGAGTACATTACGTTGTAACCGCATATAATATCCAAATACAGATAAATAGCATGTTTCAATAACTCGAAATGCTTCAAGAAGTGTTATTAACTTTAATAGGCTTACCAAAGTTTTGTCAGTTTTATCACAATATCCAGCACACTAACGACTTTCTTATGGTAAATAACTTCCCAAAACATGTATTTAATCACACAATTAAATAATTATTAGCATAACTTTCCAAAAATGATTTATTTGGTTTAAGAAGCATTTCGCAGGCAATGCATTTTTGTCTTAATGACAACTTTAAAGTATTAAATGTTCTTTTTTGATTGTATTGTGTTGTTAATTATCAAACCGTTCAGGGTTACATTTTGACCTTAATAAAACCTGGTTCAGCGCGTTATGTGCGGTAAGATTGGCGATATCGTCCGTTTACAGCAGAAGCTAGTAAAGTGAAGAAAGTTAACGAGTTTTCGAAACATGTAGTGTTTAGCTCATGAAAATGGACAGTTATTTGGAACAAGTCCGTCCATTATTATCGTTTTGTATACGCCTGCTTCAGCTTTATAACAAAATGCCTCTATTATTTTGTGGCCTGGTAGTGAGGGTGCTCGACTCTCAATTTGCGATTCACAGATTCAAATCCTGTCATCAAACATGCTCGGCTTTTCAGCCGTGGGGTGTTATAGTATGCCAGTCAATCCCACTTTTCGTTGGCAAAAGAGAAGCCCAAGAGTGGGCGACGGGTGATGTTGATTAGCTTCCTTCCCTCCGGTCTATGACTTCTAAATTAGGGACAGTTAGCGCAGCTAATCCTCGGATAGCTTTGCTCGAATGTCAACAAAGAAACAAACAAAACTATTGCATTTGGCCATATACCGTTACAGTTCTATAATATAACAATACTTTAACCTCCTGTGTACATAAGCTACAATTATATAACAAAACGACTCTATTATCTTATGTATGTCCACTACTGTTACGCATAAAGTGACTAATATCTCGTGTACATCCGCTACAGTTATATAATAAAACGGAACTTTAATATTTTGTGAACATTTGCTATAGTTATACAACATCATTAATTTAATATTTTTTACACATCCGCTACAGTTATATAATAAAACGTATATTTAATATCTGGTACACATCCCCTACAATTATACAATTATAAGGACAAATATTATCGCTAAATAAAATATATATGTAGGGCTGACTACTGAACGTGAAAAAAGGAAACAAACAGGACAGGGATGGAAGTGGACATATCACTTGATCGGCTAATGATTACATAGCAGACTAAGCTGTCTCGGCTTTACATGGAGAATAAAATCTCTACATTACTGGTTTCCCCACTTTGAATAGAATCTCAGCTTTCATCATTATACCTTTCCTTTAGTTAACTTTAGAATACTACTTTTATGACTATTTTACAATAGAGTAACATTTTATGATTGGATATTCTGGTTCTATTTGTAATAACATCGTTTACACTAGAATTTAGAATTTTTCTTTTTTTGGAGCTTGCAAAAATAACAATAAAATAGATAGTCAAAGGTCGTGAAGACTGTTTTATTCTATCAAATGATGATAAAAATATAGTTACTGCTAAAACTAGGTAGGCGTTTGGCCTGTTGAAGAAAGATGATGATGAACGAAAATGAAAAACATCGGTTTTGGCTATTTACCGGTTTTCGGCCTTGGGACGCTCTGGATAGCTGAAAAGTGGCATATGCACCGGAGATAGAGCGACTATTTCAGATAGCTCTTCATATCTAGCTTCTGATGACCTGTAGAAAAGAAGATCCAAATGACATTTGTATTGCTTCAATACGGGCATCCGTGCCATCTCTACATAGAGAGCGCTAGCGCACTCTCTGATAATAAAACGTTTTTTTAAATATCTTTTGTACATCCACTAATGTTATATAACTTCCCTTTAATATTTTGTGTATATCTGTTAACGTTATGTAACAAACATCTCTTTTGATATATTGTGTACATTTGTTTTTGTTCTTGTTTTTTTCGTTTGCATTGGTTTGTTTCTTTTAGCGCAAAACTACACAATAAGCTATCTGCACTCTGTCCACCACAAGGAAACTAACCCTAGATTTCAGCTTCGTAAGTCCCTAAACTTACCGTTAATTTGCTGAGAGACATATCTTTAATATTTTGTGTACATCCGCTAAAGTTATATAACAAAACATTTAATTCATATTGTACCTACAACAAGTTGTGTAACGTAATATAACTAAATAAAACAACACTGTGTAGAGTATTCATTGCAATAACAACTGAATGCAATATTTATATACAGTACAGACCTCCCGAGGATTAGGGTGTAAATGAACTTATTTTCAGATATTGTTTAAAAAATTCAACCAGAGTTCTACCATTATGTAATGTTACGGTGTATATGTTGTTAAGTATGTTTATGTTTCTCATTTATATTTATGATTCTATTATATCATGGTGAAACGCGAGTATGTTTGAATCACAGCAAATTTCCCGCCGTTTATATAGCAATGAAAACCACAAAGAGCGTTTAGGACAGAACAAGATTACAAACCATTCTCCAACCCTAATTTCCTAGCATCATCCTCATCCGTGAAGTGAAGGCTACCGTCATGAAAGAGAATCCTGCAATACAGCTGGGGATATTTTGTTGTATATCAGTAATCAATTAAAAAAGGAGGACTTGAGGATGAAGGAGGCTTACGGGTTACAACTCAAACAGCCTTTACCCTCTCACACAGACAACTCGATATTAAAGGTTGTTTTCATGAGAAAGATGGCCGAATAATTACATCTCTTCATTTTTACCATGTAGCTGTCAAGGTTCTCGCTACATGTCTAATGAAATTTTGTATGTTTAGAGTGCTTGAGTTATGCTTTTGGAAAACAACGTCCGGGTACAGTGAAGGGTCTGTGGAAAATTTGTCAAGATGTATAATCTATAATATTGACCTGACATCCTTTACAGAATCGGTTACAATGAAAAATGCAGTATTGAGCAATAGTCTACAATAACGGGCATCAGAATGATCAGGTTAGGTTTTGGAGAAAGTAATCCATAGGGCAGCACATCATCTCTGTAAACCCTCAGTAACATTAAACTATAAAATATGTTTGTAAATTACTTTGTCTTTGTATGGTCTTTCTCACAACAAATTTTACTTTTTTTGTTGTTAATGATGAAACCAGAAGTAAGGAATATGATATCAAAGCTTTTATTTAACTTAAAAAACACATTAATGGTGACTTACAAACACATGCTTACACTCACGCACACAAACATACCCATGTATATACATATATATGCATGTATTACATACAAATATCTCATTATCTTATGTCCCTTAAAACGGAAGAGTCATATTTTCTTTAATATTTTAACATGTTTTATGAGTTCGTGCAATTACCGCAGGTTAAATTGAGCTTACGTCGTTCAGAATATATAGCACCATCTTAAAGGCTTTTTTAAATGTAAATTAAGTTACAATATTCTCAGAAGTTGTGGAGGGAATTCGTTGAGAAAGTTATTCATCTGCTTCGTCGTTTCAGTCTCCTGTAAAAATATATATATATATATTAGTAAAAACATGTTTTCATTTAGGGATAATATTTTGGTATTTGCTAGTCAAGTGCAAATATATATATATATACACTATAGTTTGATATGTTTAATAATAGAGAAGGCGATAAACATCGAGATACTTTTGGCATGTAAAATACATAGTTTTCTCAATTACCTGTTGAACTGGGTTAACGTTTTGGTTCTACAATAGTTATTAATGCTTTTGAAGAGTAGTACATCCATAGAAAAAAAAAACATTAGTTGGTAATTTCAATAACTTTGAATAGTAATGCATAGATTTAAGACGTACTCGGTATTACTGATATCCTCTTCTTATCAGTACAGGCGTTGCGGATATCTTTATAGTCTTCAATTCAGTCGAGACGACGAAGTTTTCACTACGTGGTACATTTTTTTGATGACCTCGTTACAGGCAACCATGAAGAACTGTTAGGATTGTACATGGGATACAAACACGGAGTAATAGCTATCGGATTAATTAATGCATACCACAAAAGCCCCATAGTTGTTGTTTTTTTTAACGTTATGTATATTCGCTTTATGAAAAAATCTGATAGACTGAGTATAAAACTATAACGTTGAATGATAATGAAACATTGGTCAGTAGGTGCTTCGTTTAACTCTAGTTGTTGTAACATTGGTCAGTAGGTGCTTCGTTTAACTCTAGTTGTTGTTTTTTTCTTCTTTCAGTCCAAGTTCAAAACATGTACAAACAACATTTCATTTATTGCCGGCTTATTGTAATGTAAACAAAACGTCCATGTAACAGTCTCACCAGAAACTTGCGACGACAGTTTGAACAAATCTACTGTAAAGAAAGTAAAATTCCATTAATTAGTAATTAACTTAGAAATCTACTATGAATACTTAAAATATTCATTCATGCCAACTTTATATTTTTTTGGTAATAAATAATATTTCAGAATCTAAAATAATAATAGCAGCTATTAAGATTTTAGCCATTTTTTTATTCAGTTTAATTTCTGATAATCTTACCTTATAATTAAACAGTCAACCATGAACAGCTAGAATATCACCAACTGTCGATAAAAAAGCTATCAGCATTAAACAAGTACCCTGAAATGTCAGCAGTATCGGATGAACTACATGGATCAAATTCACGGTAATCAACGCTGCATTGTTCGTAGTTTTCAGGTTCGTGTAGAACTGCTGGGTCATAATAAAATAATCCACTTGATTGCTCATTTTCACACTCCAAACTTCCCTTGAGTTCGAACTCTTGAGTTTCGTACATGGACAGTATATCAGAGTCTGTGCTAGAAGCGGGAGAACATGCAGTGGAGTGGACCAAATTTTTGTGGTCTTGTTCGCAGGAGAACGATTTATTTCTATCTGCGTCAAAAGACTGGTGCTGGTAATTGTGAATTTGCTCGTTATTCGTATCGTCATTCTGGGATAAAAGTTTCTGTAACTGTCTGATGTATTCTACTGCAGACCGCAGTGTTTCAACTTTACTCATCTTCTTATTCTTTGTATTATTAGGCACGTGTTGTCGAAGAGTTGCAAACCCCAGGTTTACCAGTCTTACTCGGTTCCTTTCTCTCTGGTTTCGTCTGGCCACAGCAGCTGGTCTACAAGGAGACAATGCATAAGTTAATGCCGTAAGAGTAACTTTCTGTTTGTTTTGTAGAGTCTCTGATGACATCTCTAATTCCATGGTCACGTTGTTAGAAGCTCGTTTTGAAAATGAGCTTCGAGACTGTTTTGGAAACCTATCCATGTAATAATTAAAGATTAATAACGAAACGTTTGTAGTCTCTGCAGCAATTAGTCCAATAGCTTCTTCCTTAAGGACTGCTGATGCGTTTTGTATAGTAATAGGTGACGCGTGTTCCACTCTGGTCTCCTGTATTACCTCACGTGCCTCACACAATTTTCTTTTCTATACACGTACGACAGGCTCGTGCCGCGTGCTCGTGAATGCAGTTGTAGTGGAGTGTGCCGTGTCCTCACGAGGTTCCTTCCTCTTAAAAACCCAACCTTCATGAATAACAGGCTCCGCCCCCTAGACGTTTTCTATTGTGCTACTCCCAGTTTCGCAGTCGACTTCGCGAGCCCGACACGTGGCTGAAGGCTTCTGTAACAAACAGCTTGTAAATGCCCAAGAGGCATCAAGAAGTCGCAAAGTTGCACGCACATAACCCCAAGGAATTCGAAAGAAATGATTTATACCCTAAGTGGAATTTAGATATTCTTTAAAGAAATGTCTAATTGGCTTCCCTTACTCTGCTTCATTCGTGTGCAAAACATACAACAGAAAACTGGTTATGTGAAAGTTTTAATGAATTATTTGAGCACGTTTCTTGATGCTCTATGATTTTAATCTCAGCTATCGTTGCTGTTCAAATACTTTACAATCGAAATAAATATTTTTTTATGTTGTCGATTAAAAATTAACTAACCATCATTGTTATTAGAAATGTATATTATATAGGCTTGGTAGATAATATATTTTCAAACAGAATACCTGTTGGACAGATGCCAAGGTCATTTTCTCTACTCAGACACCAAGCGTCTCAATAAATATCCCTTTTGGCACGCGTCTAGCACGAGCCTTTTCGCTATCAAATTGCCACGCGCCAAGACCTTCAAACGTTGCTATATTGCAATGCACATTGTAACTTTCTATATCTTTAGTTGCGCCATCTACCGACAAAATTATAAATATTTTAACATTTCAACACAATATTTTGGAACACTTGTACGAAAATATTTAGCATTACTACAGAATTGACACACAGTACTTCCTAAATTCAGTAATCGAATTACCAATATCACCTCGAATATTTATTGTTTTTCAAGCTAGTAATCCAGAATAGTTGTATTAGATCACCTTTCTTGATATATTTCACCCATGGTTCAACGAAACATGGTCATTTTTTAAAAATCTCTAAGACTCGTATATATATATATATATATATATATATATATA